GCCATGCGCTGAGCCAACATTCGGGCCGTCTCCTCCTCCAGTGCCCGGATGTCGGCCATGCTGAGCTCCGTCCATTCATCCTGCCAGCACCAGGCCTGCCGGTGGGCCCGCAGCATCACACGGCGTAGCCCTGCAGGTGTCCAGGGCAGAGGTATCAAGGCTGGGCCTTCCTCACCCGAGTCACTTGCCTAGCCTGAGGTTGTGGGCACATGACCCACCCAGAGCCATGAAGTACGACAGAGGCCGGTACTCTCCGGGGGACACTGGGTGGAAAGTGGGCCATCTGTCTTCCTGCCGCGTCTATCTCTGGCCACTGTGACTTGGAGCACTGACCACACCTGCCATCACACCCCAGGCTCCTGTGTGCTTTGCGCTGTTTTCCTGTCAGTTCCCTCTGAGGAGTTAACAGTCAATTAAGGTGTTAACAGTTAATGAGGGTGTCCATGGTTAATGGAGACACGGGCACTCAATGAGCATCTTAGTGAAAGATGATACTTGGTTTTCTCATCTCAGGCAGAGGGATAAGGAAACTTTTAAACGCCTCACATTCCGAGATAATCAAAGCAGCAATGCTCCCATTATAGACTTCCGGAAGGAAGTCCAGTCGAGTCTTGATGGCAGTTACATACATGCCCGAGTTGCATCTTCTGATTTTCATTTTTTGATATTTCTCCTGATGTGAGATGGATTGGGTGTATGGAGATCCTGGGGTCATGTGAGTCTGAACCCCCTCCCCAGGGTGCCCAAGCAGGCTGCGGCTTGCTGGAGGAGGCACATGGGGTCGGCAGTGGCCCTCGGTGAGGAGGCAGGACTGCACTGCAGGAGCTGCAGGGTCAGGTCCAGGGCAGGGGCACAATGGTGCTCACCAGGGCCCAGGACCCGGGGTTCGGGAAATGGCTGCGGGAGGACTCAGAGAGAAGGATGCAGAGGCTGTGCCCTGGCTGGCACTGCTCGGCACGGGGCCCTTCTGAGACTCTCCATCTGGCTCTATCAGGGTGGCCTAGCCCCTCCAACCCCACCCAGCCCCCTGCTTAGCACTCCACCAACCCCATTGGAAACGAGGGCTCAGAGCGCCTGTGCCCTGTGCTCACCGACATCATGGATGAACTGCTCGATCTTGGCCTGCATGCCCCAGTAGCGAAATTCCACCTTGCACAGCTTGTAGGCGCACATGAGGGGCCCCGTCTGAGCCGCCGTCTGGGCCCAGTCATCCGCCAGCGGTCCCCGCCCCGTCTTGACCGAGCGGTACAGCCGGGGATCCTCTTCTGCCTTGTACTCGCCCGGGGCCACCGCATCACGCACGATGTCAATGGTGTCTGGTGGAGAGCAATGCGTGGGGGGGTGTCAGGCGGGCAGGTGTTGGCAGATGCCCACCCTGAACAGGACCTGTCTCCCTTCCACAGGGAGGTGGCCAGGTCCCTAGGCTGCTGGGGCTTGTCCAGAGGTCTCCCAGGGATGGGAGAGGGGGGAGCAGGGGGCATGGAGAGATCTCCGCAGCCGCAGGCCTTACCCAGGATGCGCTGTCTTCTCTCAGCCCCACTGAGGTTGAACACGTTTGGCTGCTGCCCCCCATCGGGCAGGTAATAGGTCTCAATCTCAATGGAGAATTTTTCCACGAAGGGGCAGGTGTACCTGGGCACAGGCCGAGGGTCACACACCTGTGCCCACCGAGGACACTCCATCCCCGCACCCTGTCCACTCACCGAGTCCGTGTGTAAGGGTAGGCATTCCACGATTCCTCCTCCACCTGCAGGGCGGCTTTGGGCAGCAGTGCCCGGAACCAGCCTGGGATGTGGGAGCCCACGTGGTAGACCTTGTGAGTGTACTGCCCGCTGCCCCCAGGCCCGTCCGTGTAGGGTCGGTTGGCCAGGATCTCAACGCCGCTGCCCTCACCGCTCGACTCCTCCCGGCTTTTTTTCTGCAGCCCAAGGGCACAGCAGGGCAGGCAGCTCAGCCTCAGCATGGCGCCTCAGCACCCCAACTCTGGCCTGGACCCTCCCTGCCCCTGCACTTGCACAGCCTTTTCACTTTCTAACTCTCTGGGGAGCTGCTGGCTCTTCCGTCCCCAGCATGCTAAGCTCAGTCATTCAAGTTTTGGGCTGTGCTCCATCCCCACCACTGCCAGGAGCCTGCTGATCTGAGATCTCGCCAAAGAGCAGATCAAGGTCTCTGCTCTGCAGTGGAGGGAGTCAGAACACGGGATGGGAGGTGAGGCGGGCAGGGCAGCCCAGACGGGCACTCAGAGCTGGGAACTGCAGCTTTGGCACAAAGGGGAAGGCCTCATTGCCATGACCACCTGAGCCTGCTGTGAACATGACCAGGGCAGGAGGCAGTACTGAAGACCTAGGGGACAGCAGGTGCAGGCCCTGGGGTGCAAAGCTGCTTGCTGCAGGGAGGATCTGGGAGGCGACAGGCTCGGGGAGCACCGGACCAGGTCCCTCGTCTCTCTGGGCCCCCAATCCCAGCTCCTGCCTCAGGCTGTGCTCACAGCTGGAGAGCCCACCCTCTCTCAGCTCTGGGAGGACCCACTGTGTACCCCAGACTCTGCTTCCTCCAGCCCCACCTAGGCAATCCTCTGCTCTCTCCCTCCCTCCACCCAGGGTCCCCCTAAACCCCATGCACCTCCCTGTCATTGTTTGGGGACCTGGTTCTCATCCCCACCCGGCCCACTCCCCAGCGCCTGCCCGTCCCTAGGGATTATAGCTCAGGGGATTAGAGGGGATCAGATGTGGGTAAGCAGCAGTAGGGGCTGCCACCCGGCCCTTCTGCCCCTTTCTCCTCAGCCCTTACCCCCCATCCAACAGGGGCTTTGCCTCCTTGGTGCTCCAAGCCCTCCCCAAGCCCCGCAGCAGGAGTGGTTGGGGTTGGGCCAGGCCCCCCAACTCGGTCCTCCTGGCGCCCCTCCCTTCACCCTCACCTGGATCATGTACAGCTGGGCCACCTGGTACTCGTCCAGGCTCATGGGCAGCAAGATGTGGTACTCCTTGATGAGCATCCTGAAGGCACCCGCGGGCCGTGCACGGCCTCGGCTCTGTCTGGCGCAGGGCACGGCGCAGCTGTCAGTGCGGGGCGGCGGCGCGTGGCCCCGAGCCCTGCGTCCCGGCCGAGGGGCTCGGGCCGCAGGAGCCCATGCCCGGTCCTCCGCGGGGAGGTGCAGAGGGGCCGGGGCTGCCTCCAGGGCGAGCGCGCTGACCTCTTTTCCACGCAGCCCTCGCCCCTCCCGCCTGTCGCCATGGCAACGGCGCGTGGACGCGCCCCCCCCCAAGCTCCTGGAGCCGCGGGCGCGGGGCGCGGGCCAGCAAATGGGGAAGCAACTGATCTGGTCTCTCCAACCGAGAGCCTTGCACTCAGCCCCCCTGAGAACAGTATCCCTTGGGGGCGCGCACCTAGAAGGCCCCGAGCCCCTCCTTCTGGGCCCGCCCTCCCAGTCCAGCCTCCCGGGGACCCGGCCCCCTGCGCCCCCTTGCCTGGGTTTGAGGGATCCGGTGTCCACCCCAAAACCTTGCCTCCGTCTCTCCCCATGGAGTGCTCCTGTGTGTCCTAGCATCCGGGGCTGCGACCCCGCCCCGCGCCGCGCCCGAACCCACCTTCCAGCATCCTTGCAGGACCCGTGCCCACCCCAGGCGGACGTTTCCCTGGCCCAAGCATCCACCCCATCACCCTTCCGCTCTGGGCTCAGGCACCAGCGGCTCCTGGGAGGCCGCTCCGCCTACCTGCGAATTGACTAGGGCCAAGGTTCCGCCACGGGCTCCCTGCTTCCCCTTCTTGCGCACCGCCATCCCTCTCCCAGCGGGCGGGCTAGAGGCCCCGCTGTCCCCACTTCGCTCTGCGCCCCAGCGTCCCCGCGTCCCCGCGTCCCCTGCCGGGCTCTCGGCCCGCCTGCACGCTCACCTCTAGCTTGCCGCAGGCCGCCCCTCAGCCGGCTCATGCGGGGGCGGCCGGGCCGCGGGTCGGAGCCCCGAGCGCCCCCAGCCCAGGCCTCGGGTTCCAGCGGTGGCCGGACCCTCTGGAGGCGCAGCGCGGGCCCATGGCCCCGACCTTTCTCCCGGTCCGCCCGCCCGCCCGCGCCCCTGCTGCCCCTCCCCGCCGCGTCACTGCGGCCGCCCCGCCCCCTTCCTGGGCCCGGCAGGGTCCCGGGCGCCCCGCCCCGCGGCGGAGGAGGGCCTCGGGCCTCCCCGGCACACGCACACGCGCAGCTTGGTGACCTTTCCCGAGTCCCCGAGACGCCCCCGCAGCTGTCTGCACCCTGACCCGGCCCTCCCAGGGGCAGCGAAGGGGGGGGCCCCGGGCCCTACTTCGCTGTCTCCTCCCCCGAACCCCGGGACCAGGGCCAGGGTCTGACTTGCTCTTACCTGGGGTTGGGGGTTCCAGGGCGCCAGTGCCACTGCTGTGCCTCCAGGTCTTTGGGCTAGCATCCCCCCAACACACACACACACCAAAGCGAGTACTCTAAAGTCTTCCTTGGAGCCACCTAGACTCTGGGCAAAGGCTGAGACCCCAAGAACCAGCCATGCAACCATGCCCATCCGGCCAGAATGTGCTGGCACACGAGTGGCAGCCCCGGGCTGGGCTGGGTCTCCCCGTGTCCAAAACCAGCTCCCCCCTGCCCCTGCACTTAGAGGTGGGGTGCATATTCAGAGCGCCCCTGGGAGGTTGTCATAGATGTTGGCCGCATGCTGGGGCACCATTGGCTCCCAATTCTGACATTTGAACCCTGCCGGTGCCAACGCCCAGCTGCCTGGAGAGGTCCACCGGACTCCTGCCGGTCAGTGCCTCCAGCGGTGCGGCTCCCAGGCCGGCGCTGCCCCCTGGCGGTGGCCCGTCAAGGTCAGCGGGTGCCTGGCCACCCCCGACTGGGTCAGCTCCTTCCCTGCCCAGCGCTGGGGCAGCAGGGTGCCGCCACGCAGGCCAGCGGACCCCCAAGTCCAGCGGCCTTGCCTCCCCTGCCCCCCTCGAGGCTTAGAAAAACCAGACCCAGGAAGGCTGGGAGAACACGGAGAACAACTGCAAATCATCTTTTATTGATATAAAAAGGGGAATATTTAGCAAAAGACACACGAACAAAAGGGGGGCTGTGACCCAGGAGGCAAGGCAGGGAGGTGCCAGCCTGCTGAACCCCGGCCCAGGCCCCAGATGGAGCAGGAGAAAAGCTGGGGTGGGAGAGGGGCCGGCGGGTGAGAATCAACACTGTGGGTAGGTCACCTGGGCAAGGGGACATGGTGACCTCACTGCCCGCTCCGTGGGGAAGGGGGCCCGGTGAGTGCTGTGGGCTGCGGCCAGGGCCGCCCCCTGGTTTCTGGGCTCCCCACCCCAGGACGGGACGTGCGACTTGGGGCTGAGGCCTGGAAGGGCAGGTGCTGTGTGCAAGGGGCCGAGGAGGTGCTCCGGTTACGTGCGGGCGTTCCGCTCTGTCTCGGCCAGGCATTCTCTGACCAGGGCCCGGGCGTGGATGATGCCTGAGGGGAGGGCAGGCAGGGCATCAGCGGCACCCCAATACCCCTTGCCCACCTCCTCGAAGAAGGGGCTAGAGGAGACTCGCGGCTTGGCCAGCGGTCCATGGTGCTCTCCCAGTGACTCACCTCGCTTCAGCCGCTCCATGGCGCTCTTGCTGCCTGCGTAGGTGGGCCGGATTTCCTTCCCCATCTCCTCAATGACCGACAGCAGGTCCGTGTAAGTGCTCTGGGAGCCCTGGGCGCCGGGGGGCTTCATGGCCTACATCCAAGGAGAAAGTGGGGTGCGGTGGGGAAGGTGGCTATTTGGACCTGGCAGGCTACTGGTTCAGATGCCCAATGGCTCTGTATCAGACTGCTTCGGGTCCATGCACACCCGGAGGGGCAGCGGGCTCTCAAGTAGCTGGCTCCCTGCCCCACCCCTCCTCCAGGTGGAGGGACTTGAACATAGCTCCCCCAGCCCAAAGCTGGCCATGCTGGGCAACACGGGCAGCGAACCAGGAGATGGGAACCAAAAATCAACCCACCATCCCAGAAACCAAAGTGACCCCCGGGCAGGAAGTACAGGGGGACTACTACACGTAGCCCATGGAGGGGGGTCCCCCAAGCCCCCTGACCACCCACCTGCACGTAGCCCATGGAGAGAGGTCCCCCAAGCCCCCTGACTACCCACCTGCACGTAGCCCATGGAGGGGGGTCCAAAGTCGTTGAACAGGGGTCGGAAAGGGGCAGCAGCTCCTGGCACCGAGCCCGACGGCGACGGGACACTTCCGGCTGCAAGCAGGCGTGGAGGGAGAGGTCAACGCGGAACCGGGAACGCCGCCTCCCTGCGGCCTCGTCCCGCGCTGACCAACCGGAGGCGCTCCGTGCACGCCCCCTGCGCGGGTGAGCGGCGGGCTCGGGCCCCTTCCCATCCCCACCACGCAGGGACGCAGCCGGGTCCTCACCTGTGGGCACCGGGGTGCCGGGCCCGGGCGTGCTGGAGCCCGGGGTGCTGCTGGGAGCGGGGGCGATGGGCTTGTAGGACATGCCCGGGGCCTGGGTGCGGCGGCCACCGGCCGCTCCTCGGGGGTCGGCTCCCGGGGGTCCCGCCGGGCACTCCAAAGCGGAGCGCACACCCCTGGTAAATAGAGCCGGGGGGCCGGAAGGGCGGCGGGCACGGATGTTCGGCCACTCCCGATTGGCGCGCCGAGACGTCACTCGAGCCGCAACGCCTGCCGATTGGCCGCCGTCTTCCGGACCTCGCACCTGTCTGCTCCCGATTGGGCGGTGGCCGCCTCCCTTCCTCAATTGGCAAGTTCGCGGCCCGAGGCCGGCGCGCTCTCACTCCGATTAGCCCCAAAGCCCGAGAGGCGGACCTGGGCCAGGCCGGCCGCGGACTGCGCGCCGGGGAGGGTCTTCGCAGTCGGGGCGCCGCGTCCGCTCCCCAGCCGGGCGCCTCAGGCCTCCCCGCGCGCCGCTTCTCCGCGCCCGGCGCCCACGGACGGACGCAGCGCTTTGACGTTCCGAGCCCCGCGCTCCACCCCGTGCGCTCTGACGTCATCTGTCATCGGCGCCGCACGCGGTCTGCGCATGCGCACGCACCCTCGGCGTGGGTTTCTATGGTAACGCGTCCCTCGTTCCTCGTTCACGTCGGCCTTCTCGGGAGGACGCGAGGTGCGCGGGGCGACCTCGGCGAGCCCTTCCACCTGCACCCCAGAACCGTGTGCCCCGGCCTCTCAGCCAGGCTGCCACCGTGCCGGCCCCGGCGCTTGGTCTGCTTAACCGGCTAGGTCAGGTACCCTCAGTGGGAGCTCAGACCGGAGGGGCCTTGTCCGGTGGGCACGTCAGGGGGCGAGCCGCTCACTTTTCTGGAGCCGGCATGGAAAGCTGCTCAGTTAACCTTGCTTTGGGCCTGAGCCCAACTTCAACTAGGCATGAAACTCCTTGGTCAGTCTTGGCTGCTGTCTGCTTGCCTTTCCTTTAAGGCAACGCATGTTTTGAAAACTTTAAATGGAAGGGAAAAGCAGGGAGTGGTCCTTCCCAGGGTGATTCCTCGCAGCCCAGCCCCAGCACCGGAGGTTGTGCTAGGACGTGTCCAGTTCCTGCCTGCCCCGAGCTGGGCGTGCTGGCGGCGGGGGCTGCGGCTCCGGACCCTGCTCGCAGCCTCGTTGGGCGCGCTCCTGGGGAAGGGGGACTCACTGGGGCCTGTTGCGGGGAGGACTCTGCCTTCGAGGCGATGGGCACTGGATGTGTCAGGGGCGCCCTCTGCCTGGATCTTGGAACCTTTCAGCATTGCAGCCTTAAAATCAGAAAATGAAAGTGGGGTTTAGGGACAGCATTGAGGTACAGCAGCTTAACCAGTAGATAAAGGTTTCTCTGTCACTTTGCCTATCAGTGAATAAACAAATAAACGAATAAGTACTTTAAAAACATTTATTTTACCTGAAAGTCTGAATTGCTGAGAGAGAAAACCTTTCATCCACTAGTTCACCCCCCACTTGAAGGCTAAGCCAGAGCAGGGCCTGTCCAAAGCCAGGTCTCCCACATGCGTACAAAGGCCCAAGGCCTTGGGCCGTCCTCCACTCCTTTCCCAGGCAACAAGCAGGGAGCTGGACGGGAAGCAGGGCCACCAGGATTTGAACTAGTGCCCATATGGGATCCCGGCATGTTCAAGGTGAGGACTTTAGCCACTAGGCTACCGTGGTGGGCCCTAACCTTGTATTTCTATAAAATCCTTTCAACTATGCGTTTGAAACATTTCCTAATAAAAGGTGAAAAATGAATGGACATGCTACCCAGAGATCTCTGTGCACACTTGTCAGAGCAACTAAATCCCAGAGCTGAGCACGCCCACCGCTGGCCAGTGCCTGCAGTGCGGGAAGTCACGGTCGTGGCTGTGGGTGGGGGTCCTGGTGCTGTAACTGTGGAGGTGTTTGTGGCTTCTTCAAGACCTGATGCTGTCCTGGGGTCTCTGCAGCCCGCACGGGATGTGGATGAACCCACAAATGCAAGGTAGACTTATCTCAGATTTATGTTGTTGTTTATTTATTTTTTCAAAAAGGCAGATTTACAGAGAGAAGGAGAGACAGAGAAAAAAGAGCTTTCATTCACTGGTTCACTCTGCAAGTGGCTGCTACAACCAGAGCTGCGCTGATCCAAAGCCAGGAGCCAGGAACTTCCTCCAGGTCTCCCACATAGGTGCAGGGTCCCAAGGCTTTGGGCCGTCCTCAGCTGCTTTCCCAGGCCACAGGCAGGGAGCTGGATGGGAAGTGGAGATGCCGGGGTACGAACTGGTGCCCATATGCCACCCTGGTACATGCACAGCAAGGATTCAGCCACTAGGCTATTGCACCAGCTCCAAGTCCCCCCTTTTTTAAAAAATCTGATTGATTTTTCTTGGGAAGGGAAGTTTACAAAGAGAAGGAGAGACAGAAAGATCTTCATCTGCTGGTTCACTCCCCACGTGGCTGCCAGAGCCAGAGCTGAGCTGATCCAAAGCCAAGAGCCAGTAGCTTCTTCCAGGTCCTACAAGGCAAGGATTTAGCCGCTAAGCCATTGCACTGGGTCCTGTTTGATTTATTGATTTGAAAGACAGAGTTACAGAGAGAGAGAGAGGGAAATCTTAGATCTGCCGGCCTTTCAGTGCAGGCAGCGGCTTAACTCGCTGTGCCACGGCTGTGTTCTCTCGTTCCGTGTGTTCCTGTCTCAGTAACTCTGCTTCTCGGCCATAAATAAATTGTTAAAAATGTAAGTGTGCCTTAGTAGGGTGCAACCACGGGTCTGCACATGCATCCATACCTCACTGTATCTGCTAGGAGTGCCTCGAAGCCGTCATCCCCACCTGGTAGCCACAGCCAGCCTCGATGTGGGTCTCCCAGACCTGGGGACACACAGCAGGGCTCCTGCCAGAAGTGGCCTCGTCTAGGCCAGCAGTGGCAAGGTGTGTGTGTGTGTGTGTGTGGTGTGTGTGGGGGAGAGTGTGTGTGTGGGGTGCGTGGGGGGGAGTGTGGAAAGGGAGGCGATTGAAAGAGCTCAGTGAGTGACTGGTGTCCACAGATAATTTGTGGGTGCTACTTTCTGGAGACGCTGGCTGTGCCCCTTGGAGATGCTCCTTGGGCAGCCCCCAGCATGGCTCCAGAGGCCTAAAGCTGTTCTGCAGTGAGAGGATGTGTGTGAGTCACGTCCGTCGGGTTGCACGGCTAAGGTAGGGGCCGTGCTGTCGTGGCCGTGCAAGTTATGCTTCTGGTCTCTCAAATGACAAGCTTGGAACGCCGTGAGTTCTCACGGCTCAGCCCACTCTTGCCAGAGCTGGCTGGGGTTGTTGGGCCAGTGACAGTGCTTCCTTCAGGGGGCTCCTGGGTCAGCGTGTGTGCCTGCCTGGCCCTGCTCCTTCCGGTGGTTCTTCGGTTAAGACTTTGAGACTGGGGGTGGGGTGTGTGTTCTGCAGCTGATTAAAATGTTCCCATTAGTGCCCCACTCTGGCTTTCCTCACCACATGGCTCGCCAGGCTGGGGCTGGGGCTTAAGGGGGTGCAGCGGGGTGGACATGCCAAGGCTTCCGTCTTCCCTGGCTTGCGTCCATTTCCCCACCCAGCCCCTGCTGGAGGCACAGCCATTGTCTAGGGCATTGGTGCCATCTGCGCCATTCGTGGTGGGGGCAGAGCTCCCTGGGGAGACTCTGCTTGGCAGGAGCACGCGCCTAATTGAGGATTAAGGATTAATTGGAATCTGCCAGGCGAGTGGTGCTGAGGCGGCTGCAGCCAGCCCTGGGCACCTTGCAGCCAGGCCCAGGTCATGCAGAGCCATGTGTGGGCGGTGGTGCTGCTGTGAGGACCAGACCCGGAGCAGGGGAAATGGGGGCCTGGGGCTCCTCCCACACCGTGGCTGGAGGAGGCTGAGACCCAGGCCGACTCACCCTGGGTGTGAGGCACCTCCCTGCCTGCCACTCAGGCTTGAGTGCAAGTTCTGCCTGCCTTCGGCCAGTGGTGCATGACTTTATGCCATCCTTGGTGCTCTGGAGCCTCCTATGTGGGGCAAAGGGGCTGGGTCAATCTGAGTGGTGATGGGAGGAGCGTCCTGGCTAGGGGAGCGGGAGATTTACGCTAACTGGGTGCATCTAGCCTGAGCTGCTCCGTGCCAGCAGTGGGGACTGAGGGACATGGCCCCTTCTGATGCCCCAGGCTGTGAGCCGGGCCTGAGGCAGGCTTGGGAGCCCGAGCCAGGGTGGGGGGTTCCTCCGGAGGCAGGTGCCAGAAGATGGGAGGGGAGGGCTGCTCTGTTTCCCATCCAGTTCCCTGCCGACACACCCCAGGGAAGCAGCCAAGTTCAAGTGCTTGGGCTGCTGCCACCCACATGGAAGACCTGGAGGGAGTGCTGGGCTCCTGGCTTCCACCTGGCCTGGCCCTGGCTGGCCATTTTGGGACTGAGACAGAATTGGGAGGTTTCACCTTCTCTCTCTCTCTGTCACTCCGCCTCTCACAGAAGGCAGTGTTTTAAAATAGAGAAAGGGCAGAGAAATTCTGATTCCGAGTGGAGGCAGTCCTGCCTGGCTGGCCTTGGCCGGCCTCAGCTGACCCGCTGAAGGACTTCGTATTGGGCAGAATCGTCCAGCTCCCTGCTGGGGCTCCTGGGAGGAGTTAGGACGTTGGCTCAGAAGCTGTGGGGTCTCCTGCAGGGGCCAACCTCGAGACCCCAACTATCTCAGCCAGGGCCTCCAGTTGAGCTCCCAGCAGCCCCCATGCCAAGGTCATGGCCGGAGTCCATTGGAGCGAGCTTGAGAACAACTCTTGTCTGGCCATGGCACTTCCTGCATGCGTTACCCCTCAGTCCGTGGGGGGCCAGGGGTCCCAGCAGGAGAGGAGTGGGGCAGAGGCAGGGCACGTCCTGCATCTCTGGGCCCTGGGAGAGGTCGGGCAGCGGGGCTTGCTCTGGGCCAGGCCCAGGGTCGAGAGAGGAAAAGAATCTCCATCTACCTGAAGCACTGGACACAGCTCTTGGGGACCTCAAAGACAAAAGCCAGCTCTCCAGACCTAGAAATATTTTATTGTCCACCAGAGAAGCAAGGGTGGTGCCTACGGGTGGGGCGGGAGACCAGAGACTCCGAGGAAGGCACGGACGGGCAGGGCTGTGCTCCTGGTCCTGTCTGCCGCCTCCAGCCACGGGCACCAGCTCAGCGAGACATCATTCGCACAAACTCTGCCGGGACAAAGCCAAGGTGGGTGGTCTGTTCCTTCAGAGATCATAGGCCAGTTCACCAGCCTCAGGTGGGCAGGGACAGGGTTGAGGGGAGGGTCACTGGGGCGCTCTGGGTCTGGCAGGGCTGGGAGACCAGGGCTGTCTGTCATGGCCGATAGTAAGAATAACAGAAAAGGAACTTGTTTCCTTCTTTGCTTGGGCTGCTAGGATGCTCAAGGTGCAATTTAAAGTTGACTTTGGGGACTCCGTTTCTATACTTCTTCTTTGACTTCCTTTCC